CCTGAAGATCAACTTTTTGCTCTGTGAGGAAAGACGTGCATTCTCAGTGTATAATAAAATCCCAGTTCCTCTTTTCCCTGGTAATGACCTTTGTGGTTCATCCAGTCACCCTCATCCTAAATGTCCATGATGTCACCCCCCCACCTCATCAGAGAAAGAATGAAATAACTCAGTTTTGAATTTACAGGAAAGAGCTAATGAGCTAATCTCATCCCAACAAGCCAATACCCCACAATGGTTATGTAAAAATACATTTTACATTCGGTATTTAATGGAACATAGTTTAACAGAAAAGTAACTTTATCTATCTTTTTTTTCAATTAAAGGAAGTAATGTTACAATCAATAATTCCTCCTACTCTGGTGTGGTAAATTAATGTCCGTCTATTGTTTTTAAATCACAAAGCGAATATTGCCATAGAAATGTAAAATGGCACTATTTCATTTTAATCTATTTAATTTTCTATTCTTGAATTACATAATCGGGTTAAAACATTGAATAGAATTAATAACATGAGTATTTAATTAAGCAATAATGAGTTTCTAATGGATGCTCAAAGAAACCAGCTTTATAGTTTATGCAGGAATCAGATAATGGTCTCAACAATTACTATAATAATTGTGTTGAATGTTTTCTATATTTAAAGATTTTTTTTTTAATTCTCTCAGGAGTAGATTTACACATAACTTAGTTCCTTGATTAGACTCCATTTTTCTTTCAAAATAAATTCCAAATGCCTTTCCATGGCCCACAAATCCCTGTGCATTCTGGCTCTATCTGTCTCTGGAGTCTAATAGTAAATAATTCACCCTGCCCCTCCCACCACATCCCAGCCACACCAGCTTCCTTTTGCTCCCACATGCATCTGTGCCTCCTCGTGCCACCTGGCCTGTCTACTGCTGTTCAGGTACCAGGAGTGCCGTTCCCCCCAGGGCCTCCTGTCTTCTCCATCCTTGGGAGATTTCACCCTGATCCTCCTCCCTGGACAAGGTCAGGTACCCATGCCCCGCACACACATACACTCATGCTACAGGTTCTTCAGGGACTGTGTGGTTTCTGTTCTAGCAAGTAACATGTTTTTATAATTATGCATTTCTTTTCTATCTGTCTCTCCTTCCAGCCTGAAATTTCCATGAGAAAATATACCATGTTTGTTTTGTTTACTAGTGTATCCTTAGATGAAGGACGGATAGATGGATGGATGGATGAGTCAGTGGGTGGATGGATGAATGAGTGAACAGATGAGTTGATGGATGAATAGATGGGTGGATAAATGGATGAGTGGGTGGGTGGGTGGATGGATGGATGGATGGATGGGAAAATGAACAGATGGATCGATAGATGGACAATTGGATAGATAAAAGGATGAATGGGTGGCTGGATGGACAGATGGATGGACGGATGGATGGATGGGTGGGTGGTAAATGTGGCTCTAGACCCATGACTACATCTAGGAACACGTGAGGGCCACAATAAACCTTTTTGAGAATTCCTAGAACATCACCTTCCCATTCCACTTGGATTCATTGGTCACACACTAAAAGGTATTCTGTGCCAGCCTCTTTGGTAGGTTCTGTAGACATGACAATTACAGTGTCATGGAAGAAGTTTCACAGGCTTATCTCATATAGACATAGCCTAAATATTAACTTTATGAATCCATCCATCCATACATTCCACCCAATCTTCAAATCTAGTCATGTGGTAAGCTCGGTGCTGTGGACCAAGGACCGGGGCTGACTTATCAATCAGTTCTTATCCATTAATTCTTTCCATTAGTCCATTAATTCTTTCCTCACATCATAAAAATAAAATTTTTAAAAACTATAATGGTAGGAGGGACCAATAAAGGCAAACATTCCTGGGGTTGAAAAATGTCATAATGCAGCTATGGCACTGCAAATGTCATAATGCGTGGGAACAAAGGGGACTGGTCCATCCCTGCCCTCTGTGCCTTCAGGCAAGCAGCAGAATCAGGCACCAGGCAGTGAGTCGGTCCCTCATAGCCTCACTCCTGTGTGCTTCACCCCTTCACATCCTCTCCCAGCCCTCACCTCTACCTCCAGATCCCACTCTTCCTGTGGAAGACCATTCATTCATTCAACAAATTTCTACTGAGTCCCTGCTGTGCACCTAGCAGCAGGGACTCAGTAGAAATGAGTCAGTGTCATGATTCTGGCAAGAGGCCAGAGTCATGAACAAGACAGTGCACATAGAGCCCCTAGCCCCCTCAAATCATGATGTATTATAGTGTTTTCATCTTGACAATGTGATGCTTTTCTGCTTTGACATAGTAACTCCTCACTTCTTCATGGACATAACAGCGTTTTTGCCTGAACAGTAGTTTCCAGCATCTTCCAGTCTTAGCACACCCCATGCCCATGTAACTGACTACCTGGTTTCCTAAGGTACAGGTCTCAGAAGAGCCATGAGCACAGGTTGTGAGCTGATGTCCACTGTGATCAGTAGGAACAGAGAGCTCATCTTTTGGCTCTAGACCACAGCCAGAAGTGAAAGATTAGTCTAAGACGCAAAGGGGATCTGAGGTGCACACAGGTTGCAGAAGTGGTTGGGAGCAGTGAGTACTGGAACCCAGGACACTTGAGTCTGATTATTGGTTCATTAAGTGACTTTGGACCAGACTCTCCCTTCCTTCCTTCTCATGCAGTTGTCTTCTTCAGTAATCTGAAGGGGTTAAATAGCACGTATGTCCCCGTGGCCCCCTCCTGGGCATGCAGCAGACAGCACTGACTGGTCACAGCTCCCAGATGCAGGATTCAGCCCCTAGACACCCAGCTCCACAGGGATGGGTACCCTTGTTGACACCTGCCTGCTGTCCTTAGACTTAAAGTTTATTGTGATTCTCACTCCAGGCTGCATATGAGAATTATCTGGGTAGATTAAGAAAATATTGAATACTAGACCTTGGCAATGGCAGAATAAGACTTAGAATTTTTTTTTAAAGCCCCCTAGGAGATTCTAATGTGCATACAAGGCTGAGAACCACTGGTTTAGTTCTCCAGCTCAAGAATTCTATGATTTTTGTAAGAAGAGGAAAGATCAAAGATCGAATCAGTAGACCCTACTTAAACAAGAATCAGATCAAAATAATTGCCCCCTGGAGCTGTGTCCATGTGACAGCTTCCTCCACATCCTTCCTTATCCCACTCTTTTCCACCCTCTATGCATCATCTAAGAATCTTCCAGCAACCCTTTTCTGAAAGGCAGACAAACAACTCACCCAGGTTTGCTGAGCTGCCATAGACAAATTAGTTCCCGTCCCCACCCATCCCCTGCAAGGCATCGAGGATTAAGGCTTATGATTAATGATTTGCAAGTCAATTAATCAGCCACTGCTTTAGAAACCTCATTTCTCAAATTGCTTCTCTTTGAACACAAGGGCTTTTTGACATCGTCTTACTGTCTCTAGATTCACTTTCCTACTAATTGAAATTCCAAGATATTTCTTCTTGCTGTCAGCTTATTGGTATTGCTTGTTTATAAAATATTTGCAAGCAGATTACTATTCACCTGTAGCATGTCAGAGGTGAGCACCAAAATAATACTTCATATTTCCAGCTCAAAGGAATGTGCATGAAATTCTTTATCTATAGGAAAAATGATTTTTCATTCATTGATTTATTTTCACCACACCTACTTTCAACAAGTATTTGAGGTGTATTACAATAAAAACACAGATACAACAGGCTACAAAGAGTTGATTTATATGATTCCTTAGAAAATGATTTTTAAGGTAATGTGAGGACAAGGGGTGGGAAGGACGGGATTGGTTTTCTTCATTACAGAAGACAGTAGGGTCGAGCAGATGCCCCGAGGATGAGCACTGTGCTTCCAGTCCCAGTCCCCCACTTACAAGTCTTAATGGTTTGCTCATCTGGTATATTTAGTCTAGGGGATGCAAACAAAAATGGCTTGAACTCAACTGAAGTTTGTTTTCTGGCGGGGGCTCGTGGTGCATGGTCCCCTGACCGGGTTCGAGAGCCAACGGGGAAATGACACTGAGGAAAAATAATCTATGCTAGTTTTAAAGCACAGAGTCGGAAAATGCCTGGAGAAAGACGTAATTATTGCAGGCGGAGCAGTAGACCAGGATAGTGCAGCCCCTCTCTGGCGTCTTCAGAAGGCTTTTATTGATTTCTAACAAAAGCGTATATGCAAAATGCAAAAATGCCAAAGATAGGGCTAAAAGAATCCTATGTTCCCAGGAACATTGGATAGAGAGAGAGTCTGGGTAAAGAGATAGGGGGCTGCTAACAAACAGCTGATGCTATATTTAGAAAGAGACAGGGGAAAACCAGTTAGTGCTGAGTTCCCTAATCTAACTGCAGATCAGGAGTTTAAAGGACTTAGCCCACCCGACCTGTTGACTCTTGGCAGGCAAGGATCCTGTCAGGGCACCTCCAGGCTCTTTTCATCTTCTGTGGTCTTGCAGAGCCCCCAGGGATCACACATCTGCACACTTTCCCCTGGATACCCCTGGATTGAGGCAGGGTGCCCCACTGAAAAGTCAACCTATCTACCTCCCACAGTTTTTCATTCAACTGTAGTTCAGGACAAGTGTTGTCAGCCACCAGGCTGCTCGCCTCCATGTAGTGACTCAGGCACCCAAGCTCCTTCTGTCTTGGGGTGCTCTGTATTCAGGTAGACAGAAGTTAAAGAAGGATAGAGAGAAGGCACAGCTGTGCCCCATCTCCCTCTCACCCCAATGCCACCCAGCCTAGCCCAGCCCAGCCCAGCCCAGCGGACGTCATTCCTGCCAATGTTCTGCAGGAAAGAAGTTCGTGTCTCAGACTGACCTAAGTTCAAGGAAAGCTGAGAGGTGGGATGTAGCATCTTCAGGCCATAATCCTCCTATGTCATTATGCATTATTAAGTGGACAATTTGTGTGATGCATCCAATACAAGGTGTATCGTAAATGGTCTTTGCCGTGTTTTATTTTTTTCAAAGTAGTGACAGTTACTGCCTGCTTTGTTTGCAGTTTCAAGCCACAGTTGAGGAAGGAGTCATGGGAGTTATTGTCAACTTGACAGTTGAAGACAAGGATGATCCCACCACAGGTGCATGGAGGGCCGCCTACACCATCATCAACGGAAACCCAGGGCAGAGCTTCGAAATCCACACCAACCCTCAAACCAACGAGGGGATGCTGTCGGTTGTCAAAGTAAGGATGTTTCCACCCCTTTCTCTCTCCTTGAGTGAATGCTGAGGGCCCACGTGGGGGCTTATGGAATCACGGAGTTTACAAGGTCAAGGATAAATTCTCCTCCTCTCTTCCTTCTGGGAATTAACAAGGAAAGGGCTTAGCGCTTGGAGCAGCCTAAACCAGCAGCCATAAAATGAACCATTTTACAGGTTCCAAAAATATCAAACTTGTGGGTAACTTGAAGAAAACCAAAGTTTTAAATGAAATTCTTCACACTTTTGCTAATGATTTATGGAAAGATCTGCCCAAATGGGATATGTGAAGGGGTTCTTTGAAGATCTATACTTAAAACGTGTACTATAACATTTCTTAATCTTTCTGAGCAGATGCTCCATTATTCCCTTAAAAACACACAAAAAAATAATTCTTGGTGGGAAACCCTTTGGGGACCTTGCCAACTAGTACATTAACCCTCTGTCTGGCTACGAGTGGAACGAGATAGAAATGGGATCAGAAATGTAAAGCTCTGCCAGTACCCACGTACATTAGGTAAGAGGGTGGTGGCACCCTTCCCAGCTGGTCTCAGTGTCCTGGGGAAGCATTCCACACAGCCCTGCATTGTCTGGAAAGTTCTGAGGAGAGTTTCTGCCAGAGACCAAGAACTTCCTTGGGACACAATTCCTATTCTAGTAGACAAGCCCATTTACCTTAGAGGCAGGTAATAGTACTAGTGGTCAGAGTGGGAAGGTTACGATCTACTCCAGATGTGCCCTCAGCCAAAATGCCTAACTAAGTTTTCTGTGCCTCAGTTCCCTCATCTGTAAACGAGAATGATAACACACCTCTTAGGGTGGTTGCCGTAATCCATGTGGGCTGCTTGTTACAACAGAGCACTGCAGCCTGGGTGGCTTCTAAACATAGACATTGATTTCTCTCAGTTCTGGAGGTCCAAGATCAAGGTGCCCGCAGATTCAGTATCTGGTGAGGGCCCACTTTTTCACAAATGTCCATCTTCTCACTCTGTCCTCCAGTGGTGGAGAGGATGAGGCAGCTCTCTTCTGTAAGGTCACTAATCCCACTCGTGAGGGCTGCCCCTTCCCATGGCCTAATCAGCTTCTGGTGCCCTCATATGATGGCCTATGAGGTCATGATTTCAACGTGTGAATTTGTAGGGACAGAAACATCCAGCCTATGGTAGGTGTGAAGATTTCACAAGCCAAGGTGGATACCTTTAGAGCACAGGCCAGCACCTGCAGCCTGCTTCAGTTTCCTGTTGTTGCTATAAAAAAATTAGTGTCAGCTTGGTGCCTGTGGCTCAAGCGGCTGAGGCTCCAGCCACATACACCTAAGGTGGCGGGTTCGAATCCCCAGCCTGGGCCCGCCAAACAACAATGACGGCTGCAACCAAAAAATGGCCAGGCGTTGTGGCGGGCTCCTGTAGTCCCAGCTACTTGGGAGGTTGAGGCAGGAGACTCACTTGAGCCCAGGAGTTGGAGGTTGCTGTGAGCTGTGATGCCACGGCACTCTACCCAGGGGGATAGCTTGAGGCTCTGTCTCAAAAAGAAAAAAAAAAAAATTAGTGGCTGGGAAAAAAACAAACAAACAAACAAAAAAGCCATGATTTACTATCTTATAATTTGAAGGCTGCAAGTCTGACCTGAATCTCACAGGGCTAAATTCAAGGTGTCCAGGGGACTATGTTCCTCCTGGGTCTCTAGGGAGAATGCATCTCCTTGCTTTTGCCAGCTCCTCAAAGCTTCCTGCATTGCTTGGCTTGTGGGCCTTCCCCTGTCTTCAAAGCCAGCCATGCACCGTCTCCAAATCCCTCTCTGATCTGACCCTCTGCTCATCACATCTCCTGCTTCCTGGTTTGTTCTTCACACTGTGCTCTCTTCTGCACCCTGTGGTTCTGCTGAGCTCATTGGACAATCCAGGACAATCTCCCCTCTCAAGCTCTTTAACTCAATCAAGTCTGCACAGTCCCTTTTGCCATGTGAGGTGGCATATCCCCAGACCCCAAGGATTAGGGCGTGGATATACAAACAACTGTACTGGCAAAGATCCCCCACACCCTTGGGGGCAGGACCCCAAGCTGTGGGGAATGGCAGATCTCAGCCACTTCCAGTTTGTTCTAAAGGAAAAAGGGTCTGGGTTTCTCTCAAGACCTTTTTAGCCTCTGGCGACAGCAAGGTTGCTAGGAGCCTCTGGCCTCACAGCTGGCCTCCGTGGCTGCCTTTTTACAGCTGTAAAAGTCACAAAGTCACACAGCCACTGGCTGTCCTCTGTGGTGACTCCCAAGTCTCTAAAAGCTCTCAGATAATTTTCCAAACATGCAGCTTAAAGATAAAACTCCGGTAACGATACCTCCATCACAGATGCTGGAGGAGCTCCACTCTCAGTTCTCCCAACGTGGGTTTGCCGCAGCTCAAGGAAAATAAGACACAAACAAGCAAAGCCAGATGTGCTGGAAGGGGACAGTCTCTCCCCATGTTCCCGTGTCCATCCACAATGGCTCTTGCCTATTAGTGTGTACAAGAATCATCTGGAATGCTACTTAAAACGCAGATCCTGGGTCAGGATGTGAAGGGAGGTGCTCACTGGTTCTGTCATTCACTGGGCACAGGCAGCTCTCTCTGCAGGCTCCAGGAGAGGGGGACCCAGCTGGGACTCTCACTGAGCTTCACTTTACCAGCGAACAGACTTCCTTCCTTCATAATTGGGACACAGACTCCCTGTGAGCTCTCCCTGCCTCTCAGCATATGTGAGACAAAACCCCAGGACAGCCTTCTAGACAGAAGCAAGCCTACCCAGGCTTTCTGGTGCTCTCTCTCCATTGTGCCAGCCATCCCACCCGTGCATCCCCTAGGAATGTTTCTCCTGCAACTAACAGGATGCCAGACTGATAGTGGCTTCAGTAAAGAGCATTTCAGAACTTTTATAACTAGATAAAAGTAGGCCAAGACTGGCTGACAGTTCAATCTGTCAGAGAGCCAGCAGAGGATACCTCAGTTGCTTTGGCTTTTTCCTTTTGGACATAAAATGGCTGCCAAAGCCCCAGGCATCATGTCCTCCCCCCACTGTGTCCCAAGGCAGGAATCAAGGAGGCAGCCAGACCAGTGAGAGAGCATGCACTCACGTGCCCCTCTCCTCTTATCAGGGAAGGAAATATCTTTTCCAAGGGTCCCTCAGTCAATTTCCTATGGTATTTTATTGGCTAATGACATATGTTTACCCTTAACTTCAAGGAAAGCTAAGAAAGTCCAAATCTGACCTTTGGCCTTTATCATAAGAGGTGGACGAGGGAGAAGGGGGTTGGTAATGGCTCTTGGGCATCCAACCAGTACCTACCTCTGCCCAGCCAGCTGGCATCCAGCATACTAAACAAATAGCTAGAGCCTCAAGCATGTGCCAGTTCCAGGCAAGTCCTATCTCCAGGCAGGACTGAACCCCTGTGGCTCTGGAAAATGATTACCTGTCTCATTTTTAAACCTTTTGATTCAGAAACATCCTTAATTGCTTTGTAAGCCTATTCCAACTTTCAGAAGGTTACTATTTTGGCTGAATATAATCAACTCTGTATTTTAATTCTATATTCTCTCAAAGAAGGAAGTCCTCAAAGAAGGAAGCATCCTTACTCCCCAAACCTGTGACAGCCTTAAAATTTGCTATGGGATCAGTCTGAACCTTCATCTTCCAGCCAACAGAACACCCCATCCTCCACCTTCCCGTATGGATTAGCTTTTCCAGACTTTAAATTTTCCAGGACAATGGTCTACATCCTTTCTTGACACTTGAAAAAATATTAATTGAATCTCATCCCTGTAGCTTCCGTCAGGAGCGTTTTCAATTTCCTCCCATGCCTGACACACAGCGCGGTGACAAACGAAGCACGTAACGTGGTTGTGTGCTTGAAAAGTGGGGGGCCTCCTAATCCCATGCACAACCCAAGGAAGGGAATGGGGGGAGCCTTCATCTCACCAGGTGTGGCAGTCCGGCCCTGGGCACCGTACAACTAGACTTACTAAATCTGGTCGCATTGAATCCATTCTTGTGTGCAAATGGGAATAAACACCAGAGAGGTTTTGCTCCTCCAAAGGCAGCCTCTTGCCTCTCTTTTCCTCTCTCTCTCTCTCTCTCTCCTCCTCCTCCCCTCTTCCTCTCCCTCTGTGACATTTTTCCAGGCTCAATTCCTCCTGGAGAAGCCAGTATTCTGCTCAGGGAACACGAGGGCTGGGGCAATGGCTCTCCCAGTTCCTCCTCTCTATCCTCTTCCTCCCTCCTCACACCTTAGCAGCTTCTTGTTATTGATATGGACACCAGGGCTGGCCCCGTGGGAAGCCTTCCACATTCATCACTGTCCCCTGATCCGTACCACACTCCTGTGCGTGCAAGGCTGTTATTGAGGTGAAGCTGACACTCTGGTGCTAACCTGCTGGTCCCACAGTTACTGCACGGCCATGACTTGATCCCTCACCCCTCTGACTTTGCAGTTAATAAAAAACTATAGGGTAAATTTTAAAAGATAAAAATGTACACTAATATTAGACTTTTGCTTAATCAAAATAATAGATAGTCGTGTTGCTAAGACTAGAGCTAGAAAGAAGCACAGGATAATAGTTATTCATTCATTTAATGGTATTTATTTAGAGCCACTGTGGGCCCAAGACTGTGTTGGGTGCTGTGTACTCATGGGTCAAAGAAATGGCCTCTGTCTACAGCCTCCCAGGAAGCGTATGGTCATAAGAGCAAAAGCCTCGGCTGCAAATGATGATGCCCCAGGAAGGAAGGAAAGGAAGGAGAGAGGAGGGAAAGGAATCATTTCCTTGGGAAGTAAGAACCAGCAGTCCCCAGCAGAGGAGAAGGATCTGAGTGACACAAATTGCTTCCTTCCAAGCATCATGACTGTCTCACTTGTCAACAGATTGCTGAATTCCCCAGAAGCCCTGCCACCCCATGCTTTGCACAAGCCTCTGCCTCCCAGGAACGGGGTGTCAGACCAAACGAGGCTGAGCTTGTGATCGGTGCTGGCATGGAGTGGGGACGGCTCTCGGAAGCCTGGGGCACTCTGGGTCCCAGTCCTATGCAGAGGGCTGGCCCTCAGCACTGTCACCACCCAGCAAGCCAAAGGTTTCTGCCCCCTTCCATATCCTAATTGAGACAAACAGCTGTGCTTTCCAAGCCTGGCAGCTCCCTGGCAGAGAGTTTGATATCGACTTCACTGAGGTTGCATAGTCTGGGCATCACTTGGGTTGGGCAGAAATCATTGTTAGAATCCACTACAAGAGAATGGAATGGTAAATTATTCCTGTGTTACAGAGATAAGGCCAAAATATAACTGAGTAGCTTCTAGGCACCAAGAGTTTTGCATCTGTTCATTGTAATGTTAACCCTGCAGGGAGTTGTTCTAGGTGACGCAGGGATGTCCAGGAAGCATCTCGTGTGTGTGTGTCGGTGTGCACGCATGTGAGCATGCAGGCTTAGCCCCATATCCGTGTTAGCTGTAATTATTAGGAAAAGTGGCAGACATAATGTACCCAAAGTCACTCTCCCCAGCCTGCTGGTTTCCATTTCTAACTCGGCACCCCTGCAGTTCCTACCCCCGTTTTAACCAGCCTCATCTCTGCTCCCACCTTCCCATATCTGGTGAGACCTAGACAGCCACTATCAGTTGAGTGTATATCAAATCCCTTGACCCATTTGGTCTCATCCACCTCCCAAGAATACCCATTATGTCCTGGGTTAGGTGAGTTGGCCACTTATTTTCCAAGTAAACATTTGAAAGATAATAAGAAGTCTGCTCCTATCTTACCTAAATGTCTTCCCACACACCCCAGTGACAGGAGCCCTGTTCAGGGACATCACTCTCCCTGATCACGCAGCTCTAATGATTTAGAGAAAGTGACAGGCACACCGTCATCAGGACCACTGTACAAATAATACTTGTAACGTCATCAGATTTAGTTCACACAGTGGCTGGGGAGGTGGGTACCATCAGCCCCCTTTGCAGAGTCACCTGGAGTGGACCTCATCAGGGCTGCCCACTGGCACAGGCACAGGACAACCTGCTATTGTGTGGGACCATCCTGGACAGTATCTGGCATTGCTGGCCCCTGCCCAATAAATAGCTGTAGAGCTCCCCAAGTCATGGTGACAGTGGAAAATGCCTCCACACATTTTCAAATGCCCTCCAAGGAGGAAGAGCCCAGCAGCTTAACCTCAGGAATCTCAGACTCTCAGCTACATAAGTCTTTTCCCTACAGTATGCCCTGCTAGAAACCGTGCCCCTGGCTGGGGGACGCTGTGCTTTAAGTGATGTAGAGACCCTTAGACTTCCTGGCAAGTGAATAAGGAACATTACAAATAAATGCTTGGTTTTCTGGTTCTTTTGATCTCCTATCATAAGGGAGCAGGGCTATCTCACCATGAAGACGCTGACCCTGGACTCCAGGGCCTCTCATGTACCAGTGACCCCAGCAGCATCTGGGGATGTGGGGTCCCAGGTTACAGGAAGCCTATCAATGTCAGTGTTGCCAAAGAGTTGCCTGAAGAGTCCCAGGAGGAGGGACCCAGCTCACTAAGGCCCAAGACCCTGTGTTATCATTTGTTTCTCAATTTAAAAAAAAAAATCAGAAGCCTCCGTATCTAATTTTGCATTTGCCTGTTTCTTCATCTTTTTCCCAAAGAGGAGCCCAAATTCCATAAGGCTTGTCCATTCCATATTGCTGCTGGAATGCCAGAGGGGTTTGTGTAAAACTGTCTGCCTTGGTGGCACATGCACACCCTGAGACCCCTCTGTCTGCCTTCCAGCCTCTGGACTATGAGATTTCTGCCTTTCACACCCTGCTGATCAAAGTGGAGAATGAGGACCCGCTGGTACCCGAGGTCTCCTACGGCCCCAGCTCCACAGCCACCGTTCACATCACTGTCCTGGACGTCAACGAGGGTCCGGTTTTCTACCCAGACCCCATGATGGTGACCAGGCAGGAGAACATCTCCGTGGGCAGTGTGCTATTGACCGTGAATGCCACGGACCCCGATTCCCTGCAGCATCAAACCATCAGGTGGGTGAGCGGCTCCGGAACCACAGGTGGGAGGCGGGTAGGAATCACTTTTCCTTTCTGGTTGCAGAAGCTGGTTGTCAGGAGCAGACACCATTAAATTAAACTCATTAGCAATCCAAGCAAGTGGAAGGGAAGTATCTTAAAGAATGGTTTGTGGCTGATGGCTCCAGGGGACCAGGCTCTCTGCAGTGCCTGGGGGAGAGTATACCCCACTTAAGTCCGGCTTGGGAGAAGGTGGTTTAATGGCCTTGTTCCCAAGTGACCAGGCAGGCCTGTTGGCACTGAGCTCTGTCCCCAGCAGGAAAGAGAGGGAGCCACCATGGATGGCCTCCTGCATCTCAGCAACTTGACCTACTTTATGTTTCCACAGCTTTATGGTAAAGTGTTGGCTAATAATTCCATTTATAGATGAAGGTATTGTGAATTCAGAGAGGCCCAGTGACCTGCTCAGAGTAGCCCAGCTTGATGGCAGAGGAGTCAGGGTAGAAAGCGGGTAACCTGCAAGGTCCATGCACCTCCTGGCTGCTGAATACCAGTTGACTCTGAGCCAGCAGAAGGGAAGGGGCAGAGACATTGCCTGGTGCTCAGAAGTGGGTCAGCAGGGCCGGGATTCACCTGATGAATGACAGGCAAAAAAAAAAATGCCTTCAGAAATCAGAAATGTATGTCTTCATTTCTTAAGCTCTGCCCAGTGCTCAGATGGAAGGTATTTTCATAACAAGATTTAATTAAATGGTCGTTACCTGGGGCACATCTAAAGCTGGTGATAGCACGATGGCCTCCTAGGTACGTTGTTTCATAATAAACCAAAATCAGCATGCAGGTCCAAACGCACGCTTGTCTCTGCAAAAGAAAGTTATTAATCTTTCTCTTCCAAAATCTAATCTTCTCATATGAGGTGCAAATAATCAAGTATTAGACACACTTGTAATAAACATGTGTCTTATTTTCCTGATTTTAAACACCTGAGAATATGGCCAGTCTCCAAGTCAGCTCCTTTCCCGTGGAGGAAAAGAGAACGTTATGTGGTTATTTTCCAATCCCAGAAGTGGATTTCTTTTTATACCTAAACTTTCTGAAATGCAAGATGAACTAGATAAAGGTGTGAAATAAAACCAAATCCTATAACAATGTACCTCTGAAATCATCCTTTTTCTCCTGTTCCTTTTTCCTTTTGCTTGTTCGGTATCTGGCAAAGGAAACATGCAATTTAAACATCAAAGAGAAAGATTTCCTTGAGCACTTACATGGGAAAACCTGTAGCTTAACAGGCTACAAGGTAGTTGGACATGTTCAGAATGTCTTCAGGGAGGCTTAACTATCACTTTGTGTATCTACAACAGGAGGTGGAAGCAGGCAACTCCTGGTGGTGGGGGGTGTAAAGTGGATTGAAATGGGGCTGATCTTGCTGAGTGTGAGATTCTTGCCTTTGCTGTCACAATTTTGCTGCTAGACATGAAAGGGTGAAGGTTTGGGGATGAGGTCAGTGGAGACATTAGAACCCACTCAGGTGGGTCAGTCTGTGCTGTCTGATTAAGACCAGCTCTGGGAAACTTAGTGGCAGACCGTAGGAAAATGTATAGGGCAGAGGAATGACCGAAGGACCAGCCTGAGATGGCACAGGAACTGGGGCATCCTCAAGGCCCCAGGTAACAGGTGCAAACAGGCTGGCAGACATTTCAGAATCTCCCAGGGGAAGAAGCCAGCTCCTATCCATTCTACTATCACTTGGCCCATGGGCCACATTCCCAGAGGTGAGTCTGCTGGATAGAGTTTGAGTCATGAGCTCATCAGCTGGAGGGCAATCAAGATGGTGTTTCCAGAGGTGGCAGCTGGGAACAGTCCCAGGAAACTGCGTCAAGGACAGGTGGGGTTGACAGGGGGAGCCAAGACATTAAGGGACAGTGAGGCCAGCACCTGCACTGTAGAGATGTGAGTTCCCATTACTGACCTCAGAAGCAAGGGTTCCCCACTCTGCCCCCAAGTGAGGTCAGAGGAAGCCATCTGCAGTTACCGGAGACAAGACCTGTGGGGAGAAGCTGGCACATAGAAGGTTCTAGATATCCTCATGTTTCTGTGCAAGTCTTGTCACCACAGCTGTGACCCTCAGAGAGCATGTGGATTTGCCCACCTGATTGAAAAGTTCATGGGGACTAGAGTCTCCAGCAAGCGGCAGTTCAGGGGCTAGACCACCTTCTTTCGACCTCCCAGCTCTGTTCTCCCCTGGCTTGGCTTTACCCTCAGCCACACTTGTGCATCTCAAGAGGGAAGACGCTCCCACCGCAGCCCTCTATCAATGCAAATAGAGACACCTCCATCCTGATCAACCCATCAACCGTCCCTCTCATGACCCAGGGCTGGGTCTCACTGCACCAACCTGAACACATCCCTGAACCATGTGGGACAGTGGAAGGACAGATATTGCCAGCAGTGTGTCCTGGCACTTGGGCCCACCATAGATCCCAGGATTCAGCCTAAAGGACTTGGAGGGGCTATTACCCAAAGAAATGCAGAGGCTTTTCCCAGGAGACAGGGGTGGATGCTGAGTGACCAGGAGCCACAGAGAGCTGCTGGAAGCAAGTCTTGTCTCGTGAACCACTTTAAAAGCAGATCTGCTAGCCAGGAGCAGTGGCTCATGCCTGGCACTCTGAGCAGCCAAGACAGCTGGATTGATTGAACTCCAGAGCTCAAGACCAGCCTGAGGAAGATTAAGACCCCATCTCTTCTAAAAACAGAAAAGCTAGCTAGGTGTTATGGTGGCACATGCCTCTGGTCCCAGCTACTCAGGAGGCTGAGGCAGCAGGATGGCTCAAGCCCAAGAGGTTGAGGTTGCTGTGAGCTATGATGCTATGGCACTGTACCCAAGGAGAAAGAATGAGACTTTGTCAAAAAAGAAAGAAAGAGAGAAGGAAAGGAAAAGAAAGTAGACCTGCTGTGTTGCCCTACAGGTGATATGCCCGAGAGGTCTGGAACTTACAAATAGGCCAGGTGGAGCAATGGCTGGACTCATCCCTTTCCCATCCTTAGAGCAAAGTAAATGTGTGTGTGTTCATATGTGTGTGAGTGAGAGTGTATATCACACATGCGTCTCTCTCTGGCCTGATTCCTCAGACATTTCCCTTCCTACTGGGGATCAGAGAACCCTTCAAATGTCCCTTCCTCAGCCTGGCACTGGCTCCTCTCCCCAGCCTGCCATCCCTCTGCTCCCGCCCTCCCCCTGCCATCCCTCTCCTCTCCCCCATGCTGATTCTGAGCTCATATAAGTCAGCAATGACATGACTGACAAGTCGAGCTATTGTCAATTGTCACAAGAACTCGTTGGGAAGAAGAGTCTTATTAATTATTTGCAGCCTTTGATCCTGCACACTAAGCAGTACTGTCCCTGGGGGCTGCGTGTGCAGAGGGCTGCAGCAAGGGGCCATGCTGGGAGATGGTTTTATAATAATCTACACTCAGCTCCCCAGAATTCTCAGGCAGGCACGATGACCTTGTGAGTTATGTTGCTATTGTTGTTCTTTTAACGATTCTTTAGGGAATAGGCATTGGAGGAAAAAGCAACTTCATTCTGGGAACTCTTTGACATATTTTTATCTCAAGGAGAGCTTCTCCTCCTCTCCGCCCCCCAAAAGACAGAATCAGATATCTTCCAATGACATTTTGGTATCTCTAATATCTTCTTTTCCTCCCCCTCCTCCTCCTCCTTTCTTTATCTCCTTGTCTCTTTGTCTCTGTCCCTCTGTCTCTACCCCTCCTATCATCTCTTCTGCCCCATGCCCTGTGACTCAGCTCCAGGGACTCCCCCTTAGCCCATATGATCAACCAGGCCCCCAGAACTGAGAGACCCTCCACTGGACCAGGACCCTGGTTCAGGTCCTGCCTATCTGACTGTCACTCTCGCCCCTACCCTGAGCTCAAAATGAGAAGTCTCCCCTCTGCCCTTGACCCCTCTGCAACTTGGGAGCATATTAATACTTGTAGCTAAGTCCTGTCTCCTGCCAGGAAATGCAGATCTCAGGCCTGACTGTTCCCTGCTGGCCACTACTAGGCACTCTCTCATCTCACCAGGGAGTGTTCAAATCAGCAGAAGGCGCCTTGATCTCTGAGAAACCTGTAATTCCAGAGACAGGAGGTGTCCAGGCATCAGAGTGAATATTCTCACTAAAAAGCCGAGGTTATTAAGACTCGTTAAAAAGCCCATCACGTTGTTCTCTTCACCTAATCAGAATGGACAGCAGTGGTCTAGTGACAGACGAAATTCTTCTTTCTAATGACTTTCATCTTCTTATCCTTATTATAAAGTTAAGAAAGTTCATAGAGGAAACTTTTGAAAAGCCAGGTAAGAATAAAGAAGAAAATAAAATATCTATAATTGGCTCAGTGCCTGTAGCACAGTGGTTACAGCACCAGCCACATACACTGAAGGTGGCAGGTTCAAATCCAGCCCAGGCCAACTAAACAACTGCAACAAAAAAATAGCCAGGCGTTATGGTGGGTACCTGTAATCCCAGCTACTTGGGAGGCTGAGGCAAGAGAATCACTTAAGCCCAAAAGTTGGAGGTTGCTGTGGGCTGTGACTCCAAGGCACTCTACCGAGGGTGACATAATGAAACTCTGTCTCAAAAAATTAATTAATTAATTAATTAAAATATCTGTAATCATCCAAGACTAAGAAAATCCCCTTTTAACAACTTGGTTCCATCTCCTTCAATCACATCTGTGAGAACTTTCTTTTTCATTATCAAAATACAGTTTCGGAATCTGCCATTTCTGCTTCCTAATATCCAAGTAAACAGCTTTCCATGTCCAGAAATGTAAGGGTTAACAACTATATTTACAGCACATTCAAGAGAAAGTGCATCTTAGAAGGAGGTGCCTAACGACCTTGCTGATTAAGAGAAACAATACAAAAGACCAGAGCGGTTTAACACGGAGGTGCCTAACGACCTTGCTGATTAAGAGAAACGATACAAAAGACCAGAGACAGTTTAACACGTGCACAC